CCCCCCCTAAGGGGGGGCCCCCGGGAAAAAAAAAAAACAAAAGGTTTTTTTTCCGCTTTTCTCGGAAAATTCTTAAAAGGTGGAAAACCCCAAAAACCCCCCCCCCAAAATTTGGGGGTTCCCCCCGGGGTTCCAAGCCCTTACCTTAGCCAAAAAAAATTTTGTTGGGGGGGGGTTCCGGGGTGGGGACCCCCAATTAAAAATTAACGGGGAAAAGGTGGGAAAAAACCCCATTTACTGGGGGGGGGAAATCCAACCCCCCCAAAGCCCCCCCCCCCCCCCCCCCCGTCCTCCCGAGGGCGCGTGGTCAACGGTCTAACAACTGAGGTATGCAGAACGTGAGCACGCCCCCCCCTGCTCGATCTACGTGGCACCCACACATACATGCACACGGACACCACGCGATCCCCCGGCACCCCCGATGGCGTCCGTTAAACACCGTCACTTTTCGACCGTCAACACCGTGGTTCTCGGAGGAAGACACGGCGCCCCATCGTGTCGCAGTACCCTGGCTCTAAAGTCCCACCCAAAATGTGCACACACCGAATCAAACAAAAAAGCGTGATTTCTCGTGCTCGTGAGGCTGAGACCCAGTACTGCTCTACGCCGAGAACACGCGAAAAGACTCGATAAGTTTTGATATTTAGCTTACGCCGGCCTGCCCGTTTGAGGGGGCCCCGTCCTCGGAAAGTACGCCCCCCTCCCCCCCCCCCCGGGCTCCGGGGCCGGGGGGGGGCGAAAAATTTTGTGGTTAACATGGTCCCAAAAAACACAGCGGGGGCCTAATTGAAAAGTTGGAAACATGTGCGAACCCCGGTGGGGGGGCCCAAATAATAACGGAAAGGGTTTTTTCCACCCCGTCCCGGGTAAAATGGGAGAAAAAAAAAAAAAGTTAAGGAAACCCTCTGGGGGGCCCGGGGCCGGCCAATTTTTTGGGGGGGTTTGGAAGAAAGGGGGGGCCCCCCGGGAAAACCTTTGGGAAGGGAACCGCAGGGAATTCCGGGGAACCTGGTTAAAAAAAAAAAAAAAAAAAGTTTTAGGGAAGGGG